GTTCAAATGTTTTAGCTAATTTAGATCATCAATTAACTTCTCTTCAACATGATTATGATAAAACTAAAACACAAATTGATTTAGCACATACGCAATATCAACAAGCTTTTAATCAAGTTTATGTGAGTGAACATTTCGGTGATCGGGTGTTTTTTTATGTAAATGATTGACAGGAGTGATCAGTGATTTAAAATTTTGTTATTTTAGAAAGAATGTTTATCATCATTAAGTAATTTACAACGTGATGAAGAAATGCGTTTAATTGATAAATTAGAAAAAATTCAAAAAGGTTGACAATCATTTGATGATAGTCGATTGGTATTTGAACGTTGTTTAGAAAAATGTTCATTAAATGAATTAATACAATTAAAAACAAAATTATTTGATAACAAAATTAAATTCACTTCACGATTTATTTCATATTGAAACAACAAATGATGAACAACAAAAAAGAGATTATATTCAATTTCTAAGTACACCTATTCAAGATTTTCAACAAATAATTAAACTTCATTTTGGTCAATTAATTAAACTAGAATTAAAACAACAAATATCATCAATAAATAATCATTATCAAGTATTCAAGGTCAAAAGGTCAACAAGTAGAAAATAAATATTTTTATTTATATTTTTAGAGAGGATCATTATTATCGAGAATAAATGGTGATTCAGTCTCATTATCATCAGATGTTGGTAGTACTGGTATAGGAGAAAGATCATCAAGTGAAAGAATATTATCAAATGGTCTATTACCATCAGGTACAAATCGTCAAGATTATTTTGTAACAAATGATCTTGAATCAGTTGTGGAAAATCTTCGTGCACTTGAATCAATATTTGCTTATTCATTATCAACTATTCATCCAAATGTACAAAGAAATTTAGAAGAAATTCTTCAAATGAATCAATAACAACAAGATGAAAATCCCTATACAATGATAATACGTCAAACATCAGCTCCATCATTATTAGCAACATATTCAAGTACAAATACCGGTGGATCAAGTAATGGAAATAATAGTCGTTCAACAAGACCATTTTCAGGTGTTAGACAAAATTCAACAATTGATATTAATTTAAATGGTCTTTCTTAAACATCATTAATACGTCAAAGTGGACAATCAATGGAAGTTCAACCGAAATTTGGTTGATTAGGACCACAAAATGTCAATTTAATGCATTACATCGTTTTTGTCTTGGAATTGATGAAGAAATAATTGTTGTAGATACAAATAATCATTGTATAAAAATATTTGATAAAATGGGAGAATATAAATATAAATTTCGTATGCCTCGAAAAGAAGAAGGACAACTATAGTATCCAATAAAAGTTGCTTTTATTAGACAATCAGGAAATTTTGTTATTTCTGATAGAGGAAATGAAAGAAGTCGAATGGAAATATTTACACGAAATGAAGATTTTATTAGAAAAATTTCTATTCGTTATATTGATATTGTTGCTGGTTTAGCTATTACACAACAAGGTTTGAATTCTTTTCCATTTTAAATGAATTTTATTTTGAATTTTATTTAAGGAAATATTGTTCCTGTTGATTCAGTATCAGCAGTAACTGTTTTTTCTATAAGTGAATCTGATGATCTTATTAAATGGTTTGATTGTTCGCATTATATGATAGAACCATCGGATATTGACATTTTTAATAATCAATATTTTCTTTATCATTTTAAGGTATTCAAAACAAATGAAATTTTTTGTTTATTAGAAATCATTTTCTATTTGTTAAGGAACATTGTCTTGTTGTATTTGATCAAGATTGGAACATATTTATCGACGTATTGAATCGGAAAGTGTAAAAAATTTGTCCAAATGGAATTGATATAACTGATACCGGTAAGATATAAAGAATTATTTTCTAAATAAATAATTGAACTTATCCCTGATGATGTAATCAGTGGTGATTCACATGGACAATCGTTTTCATATAACTGTATTTACAGGTACAAGTGATTTTTGACAAGAATTTCATTGTCCATATGTCAAAGTTTAACGTTGTTGTGGATTAAAAATAAGATCGGATGGTTTTATTGTAAGATTGGCAAAAAATAATGATCATGTAGTTGTATTAGATACTCTTTATTTAACATAAAAAGTGGCTTTTTGTTATTGTTAAAAAAAAGTGAAGAGTCGTGTGAGAAATAAGGTTAAGAGGCTGGTCGGTGTGATATTGATATAAAATCTAACTAATCTATCTATGCCTTTTGTTTTTTATCTTCTTTTTGTTCTTTAAGAATCAGATAGAGATAGTCAAATATCATTATTGATTTCAAGAGAAAACCCTAGTGCGACCACTCGTTTTTTTTTATTTTCTAGGTGTGTTCTTTTCTCTTTGTGTGTTAATCCCGGTTAACGAATCTCGCTCAATCCTTACCCATTTATTCTATATTTTCTTTTTTTTTTTTCTAAAGGCATTTTTTGTTTCGCATCATGATTGGCAGATATTAAATTGATTTTCTCTTATATATTGAAGAGCATATGTACTAGCCTCTTCCAACACCTTTTCTTTTGTTTTTTTTTTCGTGTTCGAGTTTTGTGATATAAGAGTGATCAGCTCGTTTTTTTTCAATATTTTCTTTATCTTATTTCCCTCCTCTGTTTTTTTTCTTATGCTTATGCTCTTGCTCTTGCTCACGCTATTCATTTAAATAGATATTAACACTTTATTCAAGGTGATAATGGAATTTAATTTATTCATGTTTTTTAAATTAAAGGAAAATTAAATACGAATTTGTTAAGAATAGATAGATCAATGAACTTTTCCATAAAATCTATGATGAGAAGAAAGTAATTTCATAAATACGCCTCTCTCGACTTGAAACATAAGTCGACATTCGATGAACAAAATAAGTTTCTTTTTTCTTTTTCTCGATGTTATATTTGTTCACAACAAAATAATAAAATAAAATACTTCTCAGGTATTTATGTCTATGTTTCGTATTGCTATGAATGATGATTGGACAGAAGTGATGTATTCAGTAATAGACGAAGTTTATCAATTTTGAGTATTCTTTTTATGTCTCACAGCACTTTTCTTTATTTTGTTTTCATTTATTAACTAATTCTGTAAGTTATTTTCGAAAGAATGAAATAATATTAAGCATGAGCATGAGTGAATAAAAAAGGTTTTCTTTTTTCTTTTTTTCTTTTTGTCTATGTTTGAAATGCATTATGAATAATTTGATTAGCTTTAATTGTTGATTGATTCATAGATATAGGCATTTATATCAAAGTTTCAAGTTTTTAACATAAAAACAATGGTTTGATGCAATATAATATAGTACTGAATATGTAGCTCAATTTATTTTATTGTTTAATATCTTCCTATTTATTTGGTATGTGCAATAGAGAATATTTTGTTAGATTTTGTATTGTGCCTTGTGTTGTCTTTCTGTTGTAAAGCTTCTGCTTATTTTAATATGTTGTTATTTAGGATATAAGATTTACTTTGTTTTCTGTTTTGTTTTGTTAATTAGATTGTACTTTCACTTTTTGTTGCC